CTCACTACAATCATTATTGGAAACATAACAAGTAAGAATCATAATCTCTTCATTTCAAAAATTAATTTGAGAAAACAATTTTGGAATATCACATTATAAAGAAATAATATTTTTGGAGGGATTTTTAGTGCATTTTTCATAAAACTAAATTTGGGATTTTCTAAAATTAGGGTTTTTTTTTTTAAATTGAGATTTTCTAAAATTGTAATGGTTTCTAAAATTGGATAATAGGAATAAAATTGATATTGATGAGTGAGCAATATGTTAAGTGCATTAAATTATTATTGAGTTCAATAACCATATCTTGAAATAAAATGAAATGTATAAAATTTGAAGTTAGATGCAAGTTAACTTATTATTGGGTTCAATAACCATATTTTGAAAGAAAATGTACTTCTAGAGAGTTTTGTAGCTCTTCAATAGTCATAATCTCAAGATTTTTTTTATTCTTCTAGAGTAACAACAATATGATCAAACCAAGGAGTTAAAGTCTTCATAACCTTTTCAAAAATCTTGATGTGATCCATCGTTTCATCACATGTTTGCACGAAATTAACTAGAGCTTGAATTCTGTTGAAGTATTTAACAATGGTCTTTTGTTCAATCATAGAGAGGAGTTCAAACTGTCTTCAAAGGGATCATAACTTTATTTTCTTGATTTTTCTAGAATTTTCATAGATTTTTTTTAGAGTATCTCACGCTTTCGTTGAAATTGTTGTCTTTAAGATTTTCTAGAAAACAATTGTCAAAAGACATTGATGCAAAAAAACTTTTGTCTTTGTTCTTTTTATATGCATTCTCTTGTTCTTCTGGCACATTCTTAGGAGGTTCTTGAAATACGATTTTCACCGCTTCATCAACTTCTTAAAACCAAAAAATGACATTCATTTTCACACAACAATGATCATAGTCTTTCTCATTAAATATAAGACGATTCTTAGATATGACACCCACGACAACCATGAATGCAGACTCGCAGCAATGCTTCAATGATATTTTTCCTTCTCACATATCCTCTCAAACCTATGTTTCTGATGCCAAGTTGGTAGAGATAGGAAAACAAATAAACACACAACAAAATATGTTAAGAAACAAAAAACTTTCTCGTCATCATCACACAATACAAGTGTTTGTAGAGAAAAAAAATACTCTAACTAAATTTCTGAAACTAATTTTGGATTATTATATAACATTAATTACTTTTTATAATAAATACTAAAGAAAGTAATTAAAATATATTTATGCTTAATATGATTTTTTTTATTAAAATTGATGCATTTAGTAACACTGGTGGATGATTGAAGCCTCAACTCTACAGTTGAATTTAATTAAATTTATTAACTTTAATTAAATTTATTTATTCACTATAGAAAATTTTGTATGATATTTATTAGAATTAAACGGATATATAGCATTTGCGCATTTTTTATTATGTTTTTTTTAAATAGTTTTCTTAAAGAGTGAAAAAATGACGAGAGGAATTTATTAATTTTATTTTAGAGAAAAAATTAACTATTGATAAACGTTGGAGGAGTTTCAAGGAGAAAGTAAAAACGATGAAGAAGATGTGGATATTTGGAAAAGAGTAGGAAAACTGAAATTTTTTTTTATTTAGTAATTTTATTAGAGAGTGAAAAAATTGAGTAAACTTAACATTAGAGTTATTCCATTTGCACCGACTAGATCAAAACACTAGACACGACAAGTAATGCGTGAAATCTATCACACTATTGGTCTTAGTACCACCAATTAAAAACAACTTTTTTTATCACACTAACCAAGCCAAATTATATTTCCTGTAATCATCTTTCTCATTAAACAAAATGTTAAAACAATGATGAATACAGGCATAATAGGTTCCAATATAATTTCTCTTCAAAAAGATTTGAGCAAATTCATCCCATGGAGTTTTAACTTCAAAAATAAATTTCAAATTTTTTTTGTTATGTTTAATTCATACATTGTCATTGATGAAAAAGTTAATTATTTTACAAAGAAGTTAAACTTCCTTAAACTTCAATATGTAATAATTATTATTTCATTAATAATTATTATTTGTTTTAATCTCATATTTATTATAATAATATTATCTTATTTTATTTATAAATAATAGTGTTTCAACTCATTTATTATAATAATATTTTAATATTAATTTTTATGTATAAAATATTATTTATTTTAAATCTCTTATTAGTATTGATTTTGTCATTAAAAAATATATCGTTGAAAAAAAAATATTTATATATTATCATTAATTTTAACTTTTAAATAATATGAAATTAATAAATATGTCAAAATAATTATTAAATAAATTTATTTATATATTTAAAATTTTAATTTATTATTTTTAAATTCATTTATTATTTATTAATAATTTACTATTTGATATTTTATGGATTCACCTCAATTACCATATCTAATATCTAATATAAAACAAAAGTTGTTCGATCACGTGCAAATCAACTAATGAAACATTAGACTACTCAAACCTATCAAATATAAATGATAATTTTAAATTATAACCAACTTAAAAATGATTTGAATAAAATAGATTTTATTTTATTTTATTTTAAAAAAAATAGAATAGAGGTCTTCTTTCTGGATCTTCCTTTCTTTAATTTTTTTGTATTTTAATATACTCTTTTGTGGATGATAACTTCTTTTCAAATAAATCACTTATTATATTATCATATAATATGTTCTTACGAGAAATAAGGTCCAGTAGCCTGACCCTCTATCTTGAATTGCTTAGTAAATATTTTGATATTAACAAATTGATAAACGTAATATGATAAAAAAAAATGAATAACCAAGCAAAAGATTAAAAAAAAAACTATAAATTACTATAATTACTCCTATTCTCATTTTTTTTCATCAATAAAGAAAAATGGTGGATTTTTGTTCATTCACATAGTGGCCATCCAATAAAGTAAAAATATCATTAAATCACGACCAATTATATTAAATTTGTTAGTTTTTATTATAATTATCATAAAAACTATATAAATAATTTTTTTAATTAACTAATAATATAAAAATCTTATTTATTTATTATAAAATTCTTCAAACGAATTAACTTAGAAGATGTCTCAATATTAGAGTGTCAAAATAAGTTTAATTCGAAGAATCCATTTAAAAGATTTGTTAAATTAAGTTTAATTCGAAAAATTCATTTAAAAGATTTGTTAAATTAAGTTACAAAATTTATAACCTAAATTGATATGTTATGCTAAATTAACATGTATATTTATGTATCAACTTGTTTGGTAAATTATCTTAAAAAAATATTATTATTTTATTATATATTATAAATTAATTTGATAAAAAATTTACTTGTTTTAAGAATAATGATAAGAGAAAACTTTTAATATTCACTTATTTCATAATTTAATGATTGAGTTGAATTATTATTTTTAATGAATAAATCATTAAAATAATAAATAATGATAATAATGTTTATGTTTTTAACTCTTATTTTGAGACTAAATAAATATCTTCTTTTATAATTTATATATTAAACTATTATATTTGGGAAAAAAATTAGTATAATTTGAAATTTAAAAATATATTTTTATTTAAATATTTTTTAATTAATTATTTTGATATAGACACGTTAATAATTATTTTAATTTTCAAATAGATTAAAATTGACCCAAAAGTTAACCCGTTGGTTTAATATAGGATCAGATTAAACACAAAAATTATAACCTATTTAAAAATATAGATTAGACTGAATCATTTATTTTTTACTTAATCCATAAAACTAGTTAAATTAAATTGAATTGTTCGTTATAAGATTTTCATTTAACATTTTTTCATAAGTGATACTTCCTAGTAAAGGTATTAAAATAGGCTTAATCCAATGAACTGACCTGAAAGACTAGAAAAATATGTTAGGTTAAGTAAAAAAATTATAGCTTAAATTGAATCATATTTATTTTGACCCAACTTATGTAAACAATCCGGTTATTTCAGTGGATAAATCTATAAGAATTCATCTATCCCATTAATAAAATAATCTGATAGGCTAGTCCATATATTCATGAGTCAACCAATTTTATAAAATAATAATTATTTTTAAATAAAAATAAAACTAATATTATATTATTAAAAAAATATATATATATATATATATATTATAAATTAATTTGATAAGTGATTTATTAATTCTAAGAGTAAATATTAGATTAAATATCTAATAATAATTTATTTTAAGATTATTATTAAGATTATTTACTAGTTTAAATTAACTAATTATTAAAAATAAATAATGATAATAAAAAGTAAGTTTTTAATTCTTATTTTAATATTGAATAAACGTATTATTTTATAATTTATATATTAAATTATTATATCTTAAATAAAAATTAATTTAATTAATAAAATTTAAATTTTTAAAATATATTTTAATTTTAATTTTGTATAAATATATTAATATTTTAAAAAATAATAATAAGACCAAAATTGGTTTGTTCACCTAACATAATGCTAAACTAGCTAAAAATTTTAACTCATCAAATTTTTTACTTAGCCCGACTCAATTGGACTATCCCATTTTCACATCTCTACATTCTTCTCATTATAGATGACAAAATAGGTTGGTTTATTTTATTTTGATCGGCTCTATATCTAAGCTATAAAAAATGAAACAAGATGAACTAGTTCACTATACCAGAATAGATTATGGATCATAGTTGGTTCTGTCAAATAACAAGTCCACCAAACCAACTAACCAATAATTTTATATATATATATATATATGCTTTACAACACCTTAGCACCACTTGAAAAGAACAAAAAGCCTTCCTTTGACCCAAGTAGATGGTAGGAGAAAAATAGTTATGAAAAAGGAACCAAAAGCCAATGGCTCTAATTCAACACCTAGGAGAAAACAATTAGCAGACCCACATGCATACTCATTTATGCACAGTAAAACAGAGCATCGGATTAGTCCATCATAATAACATGGTCAGAGTGATATGCACAGAAGTAGAGACTTTTCAGCCCCACCAGTACAGAATCATCACCAACCCTGTCAAGAGGGATATGAAGAAACTAATGTCCATAAGCCCACCATGACTATCATCTGTGTTGGTGCCAACTCCAGAAGGGCCCATGCCATTGCCAATCCCTCCCAATACTCCTCCTGGTGTGGAACTGTATGGAGAGGAAGAGGTCCCAGAAGAAGCAGTGGTTGTCCCAGTGGGTGTTGCAGTGCCTGCAGTGCTGTTTAGGAAAAGCAAACCAATAATATTATTAACCTCATGCATACAAAAACCCAAAAACGTAAACCCAAAACTAAAACACAATCACACCCAGTTTAAGCCCCTCCACAATGTTTCAGAAACTAAAACACAGAGATAGTTTTTATTTCAAGTTTAGTTTCTTCATTCTTAAGCCTAAGTTCTTACTTTGATTTCTCTGAAATCAAGATACACACTATGACCTTTAAGATATTTGTCATAAAAAATCATACCATATTTATCAATTTGTGATCAATAACAACATAAAAATCTTTTGCATTATAGAGGCATAAACCATGCAAGTAGTTTAAAAGAAGCACATTTAAAAAATATTATTTACGCGTTATAATAGAAGAGTATACGTGGATCGATCGAGTTAGGTTGAATGTGTTGTATTTTCTTTACTAGATTCAATCTAATTAATGAAATAATTTTTTATTAATTTTTAATTTTGAAATATATTTTTTAGATTTCTAAATAATTTTTTTTAAATATTATATTATTTAAATAATTTTAAAATAATATATTCATAAATCAAAAAAATTTGATTTAAATTTCTTAAAAGAAATTTATTTTATATTAACTTTACTATAATAAAAGAGATACTCTTGTGCATTCAAGTCTGAATTAGGTAATAAACATTTCAGGTTCTAGGATTTAGGGTTTATTTATTTAAAAAGAAAATAAAAAACATATATTTAAAATTTATACTTTTTTTTCAACTTTAATTGTAATTTATAATTTATTCTCATCTCTCCCACCTTAAATATATACTATAATTTTTTAAAATTATTGGCTCACATCTGGAAGCACTATCTACAAGCTTTTTATTAAAGTTATATCACCAACTAAATTGAGACAATTTGTCTTAATTTTTTTTTTGCCACTTCTTGATAAGATTCAATGTTTGTTTTCCCAAATCATTGGTTCCCAATAACTATGGTAAACAGTTTTTAATATTCTTATGGTATTTTTTATTGGTAAAAAGAAATTAATTTATTAAATGGGAGTTACTTGAAATCTTATTTAATAAATAAATGAAAAAAAAATCAATGGGTGCATATGAAAATAAATGAGCAATGAATGAACCTGCAGCATCATCATGGAAATTGGTCAAATAAGAAAAAGAGTTTGGTCTACAATGGACCACATCGCTAGTGCAAAATAAATAAAAGTAATGCTTGATTTGGACTTAGCCTATGCCAAAAAGCAATGTTATTTATCCCATTACAAGCATGGAAGCTAAGCTACTCCTCCTAAAAAATTATCCATAAAGAAAAACTAATAATACTTATAATGATTAAACATTTAATTGTAACTATGATGCTTTAACATAAAGAAGACATAAAATCAAATTTTGGACTCAGAACCAAATAAAATTCAATTTTAACAAGAAACACCATCACAACAAACCCAACTTCACACACATAAACACTCATTATTTTTATTTAAAAAAAAAAAGTGTTTTGAAAATTCATATGCATTAGGCACTGGTGAAGCTGAGAATATGGCAAAAAAAAATGAATAATGGAAACCTTTTGTGGGGATAGATAATTTTAATCTAAGCATAGCTCTCAGTCTCCATTATGAGAAAAGTAAAGTTACCTATCATATAAAGTCACTAGCCACTATGCTATTATATGTGTATACTATAGAACATACCAGCTACCATATCAAACTTTGGCCAAAAGAAAATAAAAACTAACTCAGCTAGTTAAGGGGGAAACTTGTAAAGTTGTTTAAAGCTTTAGCAGAATCAAATTCCAAACTAAAAGGCAAAAGCAGATGAAGAAGAAGAAGAGGGGTTCTTGTTCTCTGCATACCTGGCGCTCGCAGGGTAGGAACATCCTGCAGTACCTGCTCACAAGGGGATCAAAAGCAGGGTCAGTTATTGTTTTTGGTTTTTTCCCTTGGTTTTACTCTTAGAAAGTTGCCATGATATCCTTGGAAATTTAAGATTTTTTATATTGGGTAACTAGTTTAAGTAACATCCTAAATAACAGTACTAAAATCCTTAATTTTGATATTGACTTGAATTTTCACAGAAACACATCCCTTAAAAAAGGTAACTTTCTTTAATATAACGAAATCTCAAATCAAATATTAACCAAAATATAACTAATCCTCAAACTTAAGTTTAGAAATCCAAAATTTGTATCTAGAGGCCATTTTTTTTTATGAAAGAGGAAGAAAACAGTGGTGTGGAGGATTTACTGGGATCTGATGCAGTAACAGTGGCGGTTCCTGCAAAGTCACAAGAGCCTTGAGCTTGACCCTTCCTTTGGAAATAGCTGTTAACTGCATAGTTACAGTGAGCTCTAACAGTGTTGGGTTGGAAACAAGGGCCATTTTGGTGCAAAGGGTTACAATCAGCCCCAGCTCCACAAGCATAGTCTAATGTCTTCTGCAGTATGGTATCACTTCCATCCTTGCAAACGCACCAAGTGGCACCTATCACATTCCACATAAAAACTTTAAGCCAAAAAGGAAATTACAAATTACAAATTGCAAATCCACATACACATGCCAAAGAAAGCATGTGTTTAAATCATTTTTCAACAAACGGGGAAATATATAACACACTCTCGTGTGCTTGATACATGGTACTATGTTGTGTACTAAGAAATGATAAAAATGTTGTGACAGAGGGATCTAACATCAAAAAGGAAGATCTTAATCGTGCTTAACCAAAAAGAGTAAACAAGAAAATAAAAAATAAAAAAAGATTCTTTGTTGGTCAGATGAAAGATGGTAAAACGTGTCTGTTAAATAAAAGAACATACTGTGTTGGAATGCTTACTTGAAGAGGTAGTGAAGCCCAAAAGAAGCACTACTGCAAGAGCAGACAAGGCCATGCTGCTGAGTTTTAGAGGTGGAAGGAGATAGATGAGGTTATTTGGAAAAGGAGCAATCGTTGCAACAGAAAGAGAGAGTGACAATGTGTGAGATATAAAAGAGACGATATTGATTTCGATGTAATAAAAAAAAGCTGTGTAAAGGTGGTGGAATGATGGACCCTTTGGTGTCTGGTTGTGAGTACTTTTTTTTGTACTCTTGCATTCATATAGTTACTGCTACAAGTTCATGTGTCACCTATGGTCTTTGGTTCCTTCGCTTGTGTTAAGGGACCAAATGTTTGCATAAGGAGGAAAATAAATAAATAAATAAAAATATAAAATAAGTTATTGGTAAATTTGTTTTTTTTTTTAATTTTTAATTTTTATAAAAAATTATATAATTTTATACTTTTAAAAAAATTGTACTTGATTACAAGAATATCTTTAAATTTTTAATTAATTAATTAATATCCAAATAAATTAAGAATTTTAAAATAAAGAGATAGAGTATGTAAAATGGGTCTAAACAAAATCATAAACTAAGAATATAATTCAGCTAGACCTTACAGCATGTAAAAATGTCTTTGAGAATATATGACATTGGCACAGTAGAAATAAATTGACTTTTATAAGATATTTATTAATATTAATGAAAATATAGGCAGATTGTATCACTTTTTTTAAGAAAATATTATATAAACAATTAAATATTACAAGCACAATTATAATTTTAAAAATAGTTAAAAATTATAATTACATAATATAAATTAAAAAACTATACATAAATAAATTTACACAAATTAATCTCTATTAATTATATATAATAACAATGAAATAAGTAAAAATATGAGTTAAAAGTTTAATCCAAAAAATAAATTTTAAAAGAATATTATTGTCTAATTTATATTTAAGTTTAATAATAAATAAAATTAGTTAACATTTATAAATTTCTTAAAATAGCACCTATAATAAAAAAATATATTTGATCAAATTTATTTTTGTTTAATAAAGTTTTATTGAAATAAAAATGTATTAAAAAATATAAATACATAATAGTGTGAAGTCTCAAATGCAGATCAACTATAAGTAATAGATAGTCTTATAAGAAGAATATTTTTTATTTTTTAACAATTAATGTATAATAATATTTCACTATCTTTTTGTATGGCAAAATCTTTCTCTTTTTAAGTAATTTTTGTAAATAATTGATATTTAATAAGATATATTATATCACTACCATTTTCAATGACAAGAGTATAAATTGAAATAAGAGGAAGAAAATAAACATGTGTATCTAATTCGACTTCAACTTCAGATATGTTCATGCATAAACTTTTTTTCTTTATCTCAACTTTATTCTTTTTCATCTCTACCTTCGCAACTTGGTGATTCAACATGAAATTCTCCTCCTTTAGCCTGGTCAAGGATTTTTTTCAACTTAATATTTTTTAAATTAGCTTCCTTTGATCTACATTGATGTTTGTCCTCAACTTTTAAGCATAAGTTTTTTCTTCATCAACTCGACCATGATCTTTTCTAACTCCCTTACTTAATCTACATATTTGTTATGGCTCATGACAACCCCTTTTCAATGGTGGAGAATAGTCATGATTTGTGTTGTCTTCACTTTAGTTAAATCTAAATGGTCAGTCATATTAAGCATCAATGTCAAAAAGGTAGAAAAAGTCTCCAACAATCTTTATCTTTCTAAAGGTGATGTTAACATGTCACAAAGAGTTCACATTAGTTATTTTAATAGATAAATGACCTACTTAGTTAAAGAGATCACTTTTACTATGAAATAGAAGTGAAAATTGAATGATCGAAGGTGATGATGACACTTGGGCACGAGGACTCAACTATGGTCGATGAGGTGTTAGGGCATGAATTTTTGTTGGAACTTCAATCATGGGTGTCATAGGACAAGCTTGTACCACCGATATACTTGCAATGACTTGATTGGTCTTATTCGCAATAGTCGTCGACCCCTTAGGTGCAAATGTTGCCAACTTGGCACATAGGTTGGATTTTCTCAAAGAGGTTTCAACCTAGCAAACAAGCATAGGGAAGTTATTGTTGGAAAATTAATTATTATAATCCTGATTTTGATTCTAACTATCAAACATAAACATTATCTCATACTCATAAACATGTTGTAAACTAAATGCAAAAGCGTACCTGAATTAGCCATAATGATGATATCCTTGTAGAGCACTATTGATCTTATGGTCTTTCACCTGAAAAACACCTGTATTTTCCCTCTGGATTTTCTCTCTTGATGAGGATAGAAAAAAAGGAACGGGAATTGAGACTTACGTTTTGTGTGTATGCTCCCAGAAGGGGACCATGACCCTTTAAATAACCATAATTAGGTTAATTATTTAAGTTTTAGCATTTTCAATTTGGTCCCTCATCAAATTAGAAATTGTTCTATGGTCTCTACACAATTTTATTTTCATGGCATATGCCTTTAGCCAAACTTTTTAATTTAGTCAGATCACTTTATTATTTGACTTAATAAATAATGGCCCTAACACATTTAAATTATGTATCATATATATACATGACCCAATATTTGTCAACAATCCTCCACTGGTCACAAATATATATGTTCTTACAACCTTACAATTGTGTTAGACTTTATGAGCTCAAAATTGTCATTATATTCCTTTAGGATACTCCAAAAGTCTCGTCCATTGATCATATCAGGATATAGAACCAAACCAGCTTTTCATTGCATCATCGCAACTAAAACCAACAATGATTATTAATCCTAACATAACCAAATGACATGGATTCATCATGAAATGTGTAGCATGAAAAATTACATGAAGGTGATTTGTACACGTCTATTTTCAACTGGTCCAAACTTTAACTTATCGAGATCGATATAATAACATTAATGTACAAAGTGTAATGAATGAATGAAAAATCGCATATCTATAAATAACCAAATATGTCCAAAAAATCAGTGTATACATACATGAAATTAAACATAGAACATAAAATATATAAAAATGACTAACTCCCACTAAACCAAAAATTCTTCAAACTGTAAAACACCCATATGAGCAACATGCTCATGAAAGACCTTGGCCGAAAGTCCTTTAGTTAGATGATCTGCTATCATGGAGGTTGTCCTTGATTGTTCTATGGAAATTTGTCCGCTTTGTACTATTTCCTTAATAATACAGCTGATTTATTGTCACAATATAACTTAACTGGTCTTTCAATGTCTTTCACAATTTGAAGCCCTATGACAAAATTTCTCAGCCATATTCCATGATTTGATACTTTATAGCATGCTACAAATTCTGCTACCATAGTGGATGAAGCTGTAAGGGTTTGCTTGACATTGTGCCAAGAAACTGCACCACCTGGCAACATGAAAATGTAACCTGAAGTGGATTTCAAACTATCTTGACATCCTGCAAAGTCCAAGTCAAAAAACCCAACGATCTCCAACTAGTCTGACCTCCTGTATGAGAGCATATAATCTTTTGTTCTCTTTAAATATCTCATGACTCTTTTTGCTACTTTCCAATGATCCATTCCTGGATTGCTTAAATATCTGCCTATAACCCCAACTATGTATGATATGTTTGGACGTGTATATACTTGGGCATACATCAAACTCCCTATAGCTGATGCATAGGGAATCTTCTGCATTTCTTCAATTTTCAAATTCTCCTTTGGGCACTGATTGAGACTAAACTTGTCTCTCTTAGCAACTAGAGTATCCCCGGCTCATAATGCACAGGTTCTTGAGGATCTTGAGTTTGTTCTTGATGAATAGCCAAATCATCTTGAGTATGAGGTTCATTATCAATGTCTTATGGAGGTTCTGAACTTACTTTATCAAAAGTAACTGTTTGAATCGGTTCTGAACTTGTTACCGATTCTTCCTCCAAGATAAAGTTCTTAATCTTATTCTTCCCCCCAAACTCAATGTCCTCAAAAAACATAACAGTTCCCATTTCAAAAAAATTGTCTTTATTATGGGATCATAAAATTTATATCCCTTAGATCTTTCAGCATAACCAACAAAATAACTACTTACTGTTCGGGAGTCCAATTTATTTTCATTTGGCTTATAAGGCCTTACCTCAGTTGGACAACCCCACAGATGGAAATGCTTCAGACTAGGTTGTCGCTCAGTCCAAAGCTCATAAGGTGTTTTGGTAGCTGCTTTAATTGGTACTCTGTTTAGAATATAAGTTATCGTCTTTAGTGCTTCTCCCCAGAGTGATTCCGGTAAGATGAAATAATAAAGCATACTCCTTACCATATCTTTAAGAGTATAAAACAAGTCCAAGCGCCATGATTCGATTGTGACCTAAGAACTTGTACCATAATGCACCTGAGTGAGTATTTTCAATTTTACGTTTAGTACCATGAGATTTTGTATTAAGGGTTTCATTATAGATGGTCACAGTATCAAGTAAATACAGATTATCATAAGCCAAAAGTGAACCAGTTCCAACAATATCTGAATTAAAAGAAAAACTGAACTTATTATTTCTAAATGAACACAAATAACCTAATTTGTCCAAATAAGAAATTGAAACCAAATCCCGTCTAAATGACGACACAACAAAAGTGTCTTTTAAATCTAAAATAAAAAACCAGTACACAACAATAATCTAAAATGTCTAATAGCTTCCATCTCCACCGATTTGTCATTTTCAACGTATATCCATCTTTCAGAATCAATTGGCTTTCGGTAGTTTAGACAACCCTTTCTTTTCACGTCAAGCATGATATTTAGCACATTTCTTCTTTACATGTCCAGTCTTATTATAAAAGAAACATTTATTTTCTTGAGTTTGTTTCTTTTGTTCTGGACCCTTAGCAGCTTCCTTCTCAGGATCCTCCGATCTCTTTCTTTTGCCTTTAGCCTTGGAGGTGCTTGCAAAATGAGCACTTTCTGTTTTGTCTTACTTTAATCTTTCCTCTTCTTACACGCAGTGTGAAATGAGCTCATTAAGAGACCATTTATCCTTCTGACAGTTGTAAGA